TTTTTTTTTTTTTTTTTTTTTTTTTTTTTTCATCATTTTCAGCATCACGAATTATTCTAATTTTGATCAGTATTCTCTTTAACCATTAATGATGTTAATTATGACTATGTTTTATATATTTTACGGTTAATATGATAACTACAAAAACAAAGTATTAATGTTGTGCTTATTGATTTTGTTACTACTGTTATTACAAATAAAATAACAAGTCTAAAATCTAAAGGAAATTTGTTTTCACAATCTAAAACATGATAGAATTTATTATTTCTTAACACTAAGAATCTAGTTTTAATTCTATATCTAAACTTATTTTTTTTCTGTACAGATACCCGGTCGATCCAGGAATCTACGGGAAAAATCGAGATTTCCCCCGAATCTAGGGGAAATACCCCTTCGTCTAGGGGAATATTCGCCAATTTCTCGGGAAAAACAGACGATCCTATAGGGAAACCGACCGCATTTAGGGGGGAACTGGATCAATTTAGGGGAGAAATCCGATCCCTTGGCCCGGAAGAAGGGAATAAACCCGCAAGCACCGATGCAAAAGGACTTAAAATCCTTCTCCTCAGTTCTGTGGGGAGAAGCGGCTCCTCCATGTTCGGGGAACTTTTGGCTCAGATGCCCAACACTCTTTATTTCTTCGAGCCGCTTATGTTCTACCAGAAGTGAGGTTTCGTTTCATTTCTACAAGTTCATGTTTATTTCTATTACTTTTTATTATAATTTTCTCTTTAGTTTTCAGCTTTTTGATTCGTTTCGTTTAATCCGTTATTGATAGATCGAGTTGGTTTTATCGCGTATTAGTGATAGAGTGTGGTACTATAATAGGGCCGATTTTGATCATATATGTAAAACAGTAAAACTTTTCATATTACTTTTCAAAAATTTATTAATCCAAGCATTTCATGTTTATTCGTTTTATTGTTGGTTTGTATGTATTTTTTTTTTTTTTTATATGAAATATAAGCATCCATAAATCTTACTATTTTCATCAGTTTTCTAATTTGGCCCCGAAATTCCTAGCACCGGCCCGGATAATTGATAGATTAAAATGTCAATAGACCAATAATTTTAGATCTTAACCATCTAAACACACACACACACACACACATGTAACGTAAGTCATCCCGATAATATTAGAATACAGAAAACCTGTACCAACTCAAAGAAAACAAAATTATTTTAAGGGTAAACCAAAGAATATAATTCACGCCTACAATCTCCCTCTGTGTGGATATCAGCTCAGACAGAAAACAAGAAAGAAAATAAAAAAGAGCAAAAAAATAAATACCTTATATTTGGTAAATTTGGAAATGCAACCCAACACCATTTTTGGGGTGAATAGAATAATTTTCCAATAGCTTTCGTCGTTTCGAACGAATCTAGCACTCATTTCCTTTGCAAACGAAGCATAACTACGATAACGGTCCCGATAGCTGGGAGGGTATGATAGGCCTACTTATTAGGGAATTACGAGAAATATCGATGGAATACCAGCAAGTATCGTATAACAACACATTTCCGACTTGAATAAGGGGATCCGCCCCCTACCCCCCGCCTGGTCTACAAAATCTTCACCTCGTATGTTCCGGCAGGAGAGAGCCCAGACCCAGGGACAGTTTTAACCTCATCTTACCTTCAGCCTTAACACCACAGCAAAGTTACACTGCTTTCTTCGATTTTTTTTTTTTATTTTATCCATACACCACAAACCCACTGGTGTCTCATTTCTGTAAAGACACGATGCCTTACAGGGCGGGCATTCTACTTCCATTGGCAGTACACCGTGATCTCGTAGACCTAGTAAGCTTGCTTGGTTATTTTGTTGATATTTCGCGGTGAAATCGAAATAATTGTTCTCACAACCTGCACACTATCTAGCCATGATGGAACTGATTTGAATTTCAATTGCCGTCTCCTAGGCCCAGCATCTATTGTCACGTGATGATCTATTCCATATCTGATTGGCTCTATTGAGTGGCCTTGTTCACGTCACGTTCACGCACGAATCTAATTGGCTCATTTGATTTCCCTCGCATACGTCATCCGCTACAAATCCGTCCGATTTTCCTTCGCTCTTAACGACTGTTTGTCATTTTGTCGCGGCGCTGGAGGCGGAAGGTGACTGCGGCTCCTGGAAAATATGGATTTTATACCCTCTGGAACTTTGTTATTATCAATTTGCGCAGAAAATGGTATAGAAGAAAACTATCATACAGTGATGCGTTCTGGCACATGGTAAGCTCAAATTCTTTAAATCAGGTGTGGGGTTGCATTTCCAATAATACCATAGACAAATAAGAGAAAGAGAGAGAGAGAGAGAGGTATTATTTATTCTCTCACTCATCATCATCATTTTCCCTCCACAAAACAGATACACATCGGAGGGCGTGACCCCGACGACGAGTCTCTCCATCGTGCGCAAGATCTACAGCTGCGCCTGGAGCCCCGTGGACGCCAGATGGGCTTCCTTCAACGGCGGCAGAAACCTCGCCAGACAAAATGGCCGCAGACCCGTGTGTCGGTTCGGGAACGGCACGAGAATGCTCAGCTGCTTGAAAAAGACGTGCTTGGAGAACACCAATATTGTTGTCAAGGTGATCTGGGTTAGGGTTGTTTTTGTTGGTATCTCTAGAAGGGTGGTAGGCCTATGGCACTATTTTTTATTTTATTTTTATTTTTTTATTTATTATTTTTTTTACGACGTTCAACAAAAAGCTAGTCTTCAGCCTTATCTTATCGCTTTTATTTCTTAACTTATGCTAGGCTTTATTGTAATCTTTTTCTTCATCGTTATCATATTGATGAAAGTGATAACAAAAGTAATAGCAAGAATGTTACCTACAGTTTCAAATAGTTGAGAAAGTGATTGCTGACGATGAGGAAAATGACAATAAGACTCGTGTTTAGAGCATTAATGATGATGATAATGATTGCCATAAGTAGTTTAGGCGGTAATTATAAGATAATAAAGATAGGGATATAATAAGTCATATAATGATAAAGACGATGAAACAACGACAATAGCAGTGATCCTCTCCCTCATCCTTTGCAGAGAGTAATCTTTTTATTAACCTTTTTTATCACTATCATTCTCCTGCTTTGTCACCTCCCCATCATTATGCTCCTCCACTTCACCATCCTCCTGTTTCTCTTCCTCCTCCACCTCCTACCCCCTATCATACTCCTCCTTATCTTCCTCCACCTCACCATCCTCCTCCTCTTCCTTTCAAATACAGTAATTCTTCACTTCCACCATTTTTCTCCTACTTACCCTCACTGTTCTCCCCTTCCACATCCTCTACTTCCTCAAATCTACTCTGCTCTTGAACCTTCTTCCTCCTCTTCATCCTCCCTCTCCTCCACCTCTACCGCCTCCTCTTCCTCCTTCACCCTCACAATTAAAACACTTCCCCAACATTCCTCTCTCTGTCACCCACCACCAGCACCTCTCAACATCACCCTCACCCACCATCCCCCTCCCTTTCACCCACCATCCCCCTCCCTCTCACCCACCACCCCCTCCCTCT